GGCTGGGTTGGTGCCCTCGGACTCTGTGAGGCTTTGTGATGCTGCTGCTTTGGGCCCTGGCAGGATGGGCTGGGGTCTCCATGCTCTGGGTGGCATTTTGACAACAGAGGTGCCTATTGGGGCCAGTGGGGGAGATGGCTCCCTGGAGGGCTAAGCCCAACCAGCCATTCCTCCCCATCCCCACACATTTCTCTCCTCCTGCTCCCACACATCATCACACAAACATGCACATAGGACCTTGGGGGGTGGACAAGTCAGGGAGTGCAGGTATGGACCCTCTTTCCACATTCCTGTGGCAACCTGCCCCCCAATTTTATCTGCACCTTAAACACTTCCACCAACGACATTCCACGCAAACACACACTTAGGGCCTTGGGAGTGAGCACATCCAAGGGCATTTGGCAGGGGGATTTATCAGCCTCATCCCAAGTGCCGGTGCCCACTTCCAATATTAAACTGCACTTAGACACTGAGGGTTGTGGGTGCAAGTGGGGTGGTGTGGTGGCATCAGCTGGCATAGGCCAGACGATGCCCGCACTGCCTGCTCACCACAGCCATGGAATACACCTCATCAACACTCACTAACACCATATTGGAGCAGGCGGAGGGAGACTAGGGGTCTTAGCACACCTCTGTTGTCGCTTGGCTCCCTGGGGCTGGAGGCTAGGAGGGAGATCCGGCCGTCCGGTTGGGGTCTGGGGTGGTGGATTGCTGTGCTCAGCGTTGGGCGGTGGAGCCTGCTCATCAGCACCTTCAGCAGAAAGTCAAACTCTTGGAACCGGTGATGGTTGTACCCCATGTGCAGCAGTACCGGGACCAGAGTGAATAGGGTGTGTATGGGGAGCATGAGTGGGTGTCCGGCGTGCATTTTTGTAAGTTTTTGGTTGTATGTGTATGTGTGAACATGAGGGAGGGTGTGACTGTGTTTGTGCATGACTGTATATGTCAGGTGGGGCTTTTGACTCCTCCCTTCTCCTGAGACTTCTTTTGATGATATAGATCTTTGTCTCCCCTCTCCCTGCCACACCTGGTGTGGAGTGCGGTGGCTTGGACTGCCTGGGTCGTGGCTCCCGGGTCAGGGAGTTTAAGATTTTTGGCCTCTGCCTGACCAATCCCGGTGGCTGCCTGGTGGGGTCTGGGTCCCTGGCCTCTGCTGGGTCCCCAGCGGGGGTGGTCGCCCCTGGGTCCCGGGTCATTGGGTCCTGGGCTCGGCTGGCTAGGGAGTGGGAGGCTGCGGGTGGGCCTGTGGGCTTGCCGCCGATATCTCCCGGGACTCTGCCAGCTGCTGGTTGTGGCCCCCCCGGGGTAATCCTCTGCGCCTCTCGAGGGGAGCGGGGGCTTTTCTGGTCGCAGTCTCCCTGGAGTTCCTGTGCTCTGGGGCAACTCCTGGATCTCTGGGACTTGGAGCTCCCTCCATCTCCTGCACATCTTTAGGGGGCAGATCTGTGGCCCCTCTCTATTGGACGCTCCTATGGAGAAACCTTACATAAACAAGCGAGTGTACACACACAGGTGCTCACATGGTATTCTCATAAGTATGGACTTGGGCATGTTCAACACAGGTCTTAAGGCTATGGTTGGCACTTAATGCACTGTGATTTATTATCGTGTGATTGTTCAGTTAAACAATGTTGATTATATATTTCTTCATCAAGTTGACACAGTGATAGCTAGATCTTGTTGTATTGTTGTTGTGTCCCATTTTTTTCTTCTCTCTTTCTGCATGTCTAGAAGCACATTCTTGTTCATTGTTGTTTAGTTTTGTGGACCCCCCCCCCAACTTTTGTCTCTTCCTTTCTCTTTCACCTCTGTCTCCGTGTCTGGTCGGAATTGAAAAGCATTCAAAAACAATAACAAAAAAGTTTTAAGTATCAGGCGTGACATTAAAAGCAGACGCTTTGATGCTCCACCTGAGAGTAAATCTGTAAGGCTTGTCACCAGCATTCAGACATCAATTCTGTTTGCTTCACAGCCAGACAGGACACACACACACACACACAAAAGAGATGGGTCTGAAGCTGCTATGGAGAGAGGGGTCAAGACTCGGTTTTTTAATAAGCGGGTGGACTACAACATTCTTAAAGTAAGCAGGGACCTGACCAGAAACCAGAGAAGCATTATTAATGGAGAGCACGCTGGGACCGATGGACTGAAAAGCACTTTTAAACAAAGATGAGGGTAAGATGTGGAGGGGGCATGCAGAGGTCTTCATAGAGTTAACTAGTTTGGTTAACTTAGGCAAAGAAACAGGAGCAAAGCTATCTAGGATGCTGGGCCTGGTTGGAGTCGGGAGAGGCAGCGATAAGGCTGAAGGAGAGATGCTAGATCTAACCTTATTGACTTTGTCCACAAAGAAAGACAGAAAGTTCTCACAGTCTGCAACAGAGTGGATGGAGTCTGTAGGAAAGGCAGGAGACACGATGCTGCTGATGGTGTTAAACAGCACCTTGGGGTTCCCTTTGCTCTGGGACACCAGGTTGGAGAAATAGGAAACCCTAGTGTCTCTGACTGCAGAGTTAAAGGATGTCAGAAGATCCTTTAGGTGCAGCAGATGGACATGGAGATGGGTTTTCTTCCACAAGCGCTCAATTTTTCTGCATTGGCGCTTCAGGCTGTCATTAAACCAGGAAGTAGGGTTCACTGCAGAAACTGATCTGGTTCTGACAGGACAGATGTTGTCAAGAATGGAGAGGCAGTGCTCGTTAAACTGAGAAGTTAAGGAATCTGGGTCATTATCAGAAGAACAGGGTGGATCAAAAGCAGCAGAAAAATTGCTAGCTGTGCTCTCATTAAGAAAACGAGAACTAACCAGACGGCGAGCAGGAGGTGGGGACGCAGAAACTGACAAGTGAAAGAAAATGCCATGGTGGAGTTAATTAGCTGATTAGCGTGTGGCACCAGGAGTCTTCAATTTTGAATCTTTCCGTCGTCGTCGTCGTCTTCCTCCGCTTATCCGGGTCCAGGTCGCGGGGGCAGCATCCCAACTAGGAAGCTCCAGACGTCCTCTCCCCGGCCACCTCCACCAGCTCCTCCGGCAGGACCCCAAGGCGTTCCCGGACCAGATTGGAGATGTAACCTCTCCAACATGTCCTGGGTCGACCTGGGGGCCTCCTGCCGGCAGGACGTGCCCGAAACACCTCCCCGGGGAGGTGTCCAGGAGGCATCCTGACCAGATGCCCAAACCACCTCAACTGGTTCCTTTCGATCCGGAGGAGCAGCGGTTCTACTCCGAGTCCCTCCCGAATGTCCGAGCTCCTCATCCTATCTCTAAGGCTGAGCCCGGCCACCCTACGGAGGAAACTCTTTTCGGCCGCTTGTATCCGCGATCGCGTTCTTTCGGTCATTACCCAAAGCTCATGACCATAGGTGAGGATTGGGACGTAGATCGACCGGTAAATCGAGAGCCTGGCTTTCTGGCTCAGCTCCCTCTTCACCATGACAGATCGGCTCAGCGTCCGCATCACTGCAGACGCTGAACCAATCCGCCTGTCGATCTCCCGAGCCCTCCTACCCTCACTCGTGAACAAGACCCTGAGATGCTTAAACTCCTCCACTTGAGGTAGGACTTCTCCCCCGACCCGGAGTTGGCAAGCCACCCTTTTCCGGTCGAGAACCATGGTCTCAGATTTGGAGGTGCTGATCCTCATCCCAGCCGCTTCACACTCGGCCGTGAACCTACCCAGCAAGAGCTGAAGGTCAAAGCTGGATAAAGCTAGGAGGACCACATCATCCGCAAAAAGCAGAGACGAGATTCTCCTGCCACCAAACTCGACACACTCCACACCACGGCTGCGCCTAGAAATTCTGTCTATAAAGGTAATGAACAGAACCGGTGACAAAGGGCAGCCCTGGCGGAGTCCAACCCTCACCGGGAACAGGTCCGACTTTGTACCGGCTATGCGGACAAAACTCACGCTCCTCTGGTAAAGGGACTGAATGGCCCTTAACAGAAAGCCACCCACCCCATACTCCTGGAGCGTCCCCCACAGGGTGCCCCTGGGGACACGGCCATAAGCCTTCTCCAAATCCACAAAACACATGTGGATTGGTTGGGCAAACTCCCATGCCCCCTCCATCACCCTTGCAAGGGTATAGAGCTGGTCCACAGTTCCACGGCCAGGACGAAAACCACATTGCTCCTCCTCAGTCTGAGATCTTTCATGGAAGTAAATTCAAAGAGTCGGAGTACCCGGCCCGGAGGGTTACCGGGGTCCCACCCTGGAGCCAGGCCTGGGGTTGGGGCCCGTGAGCGAGCGCCTGAGGGCTGGGCTTTCGCCCATGGGGCCCAGCCCAAACCGGATACATGGGCTCATCCAACTGTGGACCCACTACCCGCAGGAGGAACATGAAGGGTCCGGTGCAGTGTGGATCGGGTGGCAGACCAAGGCAGGAGCCTTGGCGGTCCGATCCCCGGACAAGAAAACTTAAATCTTTTCACAATATTGAAATATTCTGAGATACTGAAATTGGGATGTTCATTATCTTTAAGGTATAATCATCGAAATTAAAATTATTTAACAATTAGAATATATCAGTCTGTGTGTAATGAATGAATCCAATATACAAGTTTCACTTTTTGAATGAAATAATTGAAATAAATCAACTTTTTCATGATATTCTAATTTTATGACCAGCACCTGTGTTATTTAGGTCAACTGGATGGAAACACAATAACTTTGCGGATGTTATTTTTTTAAAGCTTAAGTCTAATTATTATTCTGCAGCTGTTCTCATCACAAACCAACCAGTCTCATCTTCTCTGTATTGCTGGAACAAAACAGCTGACTGACACCAACCTGCAGTTTCCTCTGTAGGTACCAGTGGAGGGGCTACAGCTCCACCCTGACCTCTGAACTCCGGCACGCTGCATCAAATGTAAAGTTTAATGATGGGACTCCATGTGAACCACTTGGTGGAGATGTTTATGATAGCTTTACAACCCATCCATCCATGCTTTACACCCATTTAAGGTCATTTCCCCATAAATCAAATAGAGAACAGAAGATGTGAAATGAAATTTTAATACATTAAAAGGCAGATAAAAAGGTTTTTTGCCATATTCCTGACACAGATTCTGAGACTTAAATACAAAAATAGATCCAAGTATGAAGTATTACCTTAATAATATATTAGGTTATAATATATCAACATCTCTGTTTATACACATTCAAGTTTATTTTCACGGAACATTTGGCAAAACCAGGCCGAGACGATGACAGAAGGAATGTTGGCGCCAGCTGCACCACCAGGTCTGGAGCTTCAGGTTCAGATGCTGAAACGTCAGACGTCCAACAACCAGCCTGCTGCTCGTCAGGACAGAAGCAGGTTGGAAGGAAAATGTTTTTTAAACATTCTTCATTATAGCAGAATTTGTTCTTAATGTCAATCAAACAAGGCACTGATGAAGAGCAACACTTTGGTCCTCCTAACACACACACACACACACACACACACACACACACACACACACACACACACACACACACACACACACACACACACACACACACACACACACACACACACACACACACACACACACACACACACACACACACACACACGTCACTGACCTTTACATAAAGCTCTGAGACGCACAGGAAGTGAGTTGGTAAAAGTGAGTAACCTCAAAGTGCAAAAAGAGCAAATCTCCAAGATTAATGACTGTTTTTTTAAACACGATACTAAAGAACTAACTTTGTGTTATTCACACATTTAAATGGACGTTTCTGAACATCCCAGAGACTTCAAGTAAATGAGGAAACGTGGATGGAGGTAAGCGTTGGACAGAACCACCGCCCCGCAGGGTTCTGAAGAGGTGTCTTACCAACGAGCATAAATAAATAACTGATGCTCCCACAGTTAACCCATCTGCTACGACAGACGTCCCTTGGTCTCTGGTGAGCTGCTCTTCCTGTTCTAACTGGTGCACAAGAAAAGCACTTTTCACGTTAAATGCAAAGCAGAACTGTTTCTTTCTGCAAATGGCCACAAGATAACTGTTCAACATACAGTCAGCCACCAGCAGCTGTCACAGCCCAGAGGAAGAGGAGTTCAGCAGCTTAAAGGCTTAGAGACATTTACTATTGTGTGTTTCCATCACCATCAGCAGATGTTAGAGGAGTGATGAACGTGTGACTGTTACAACTTCCTGATGCTTCAGGTCTTCATATTTATTTAAATTTAGATCAGCTGAAGTTTGTCTTGCGTAAATGCCTGTTGGGTATTTCGATGGCGCTCACTTGTAACGGCCAGGAGCCGCCCATGATGCCGGCCTGGATAGCCACGCCTGTAACCACGGCCAGGTCAGGATCCACAGACGTGTTGGGCTCCTTCCTAAAATACAGACTGATTAGCTCCCTGATCCGTGGTATCCTGGTGGACCCTCCCACCAGAACAATCTCATCCACATCCTCTTTCTCCAGGTGGCCTTCAGCCAACACTGTCTTCACAGGAGCCAGAATCTTCTGGAAAAGATCCTCGTTGAGCTCCTCAAACAGCTGGCGAGTGACCACGGCCCTGAGGAGGACTGGAGAAGGGCCTTTGGGTGGTTCCTGGAGGCGTAGAGGCACCGTGATGGTGGCATTTGGTCGGAGGGTGAGGTTGAGTTTGGCAGCTTCCACGGCCTGTCGGAGACGGTGGATGTCTTCCTTCAGGGTGGGGGTGACACCAAATTCCTGTCTGACCCGCTCCATGCAATACTGGAGCAACCTCTGGCTGAAGTCCTGACCTCCCAGCTTGTTGTTTCCTAAAGGTCATCAGAAAAAAGTCTTAGTGACGAGTTTGAAATATTTAAACACTCATTCCATAAATCTCCATCAGCAGCTCCCTGTTTGAACACTCTTTGTGTTCCACCTTCAAATTATTTTACACTTTCACAAATGATGTGAAGACTTTTACCTGCCATCGCCCTGGTGAGGAACATGCCTCCCTGTTTGTTTAACAAAGACACGTCCAGCGTTCCTCCGCCGAGGTCCACCACCAGAACATTATACACATCCACCTTGTGCAGGCCGTAGGCCATGGCTGCAGCCGTGGGCTCGTTGATTACACGCAGGATCTCCAAACCTAAGAGAATAAACAAGAGAGTCAGTGTGTGGATAAACCTTTAAACGATCACTCACGGGATTTCAAACTCTTAACCAACCCGACCTGCTAGGTTTGCAGCCCTAACGGTGTAGTTCCTCTGTCTCTCATCAAACTCTGCCGGTACAGAGATGACGGCCTTCTGGATCAGCACGCCCAACTGTTGCTCTGCCATCTTCTTCATCTTCAGCAGCAGCCTGGAGCCAATGAACTCTGGGCTTACGGTGAAGGTGTGGTTGGTGGAGATCACGAACTCTGCACTTCCATTGTTGTTTATCACCTGGAGGCAGAAGAGAGGCAGTGGAACAGATGGAACGAATAGATGGAAAACAAAAGCACATTTTTGTTCAAATTCTGAGACTTCAGGTAAGAATAGTACTAACTGCCTGGTCCAAAAAAAAGGTCATACGTGTTAACTTGTTGGACCAGGGTCTGGCCATTGCTAAGGCTTCTCCAACACTGATCCTGATTATTCTCACTGGGGTTAAAGACTCTGGTGTAAAATGATGCTTCCTATTTGAGTCTAGCATTTTCATCCATCAGGGAGGAAAACATCCATCCAGGCAGTCAGCTGACCTAATGTGTTACTGAATCTACAGCAACCCCATCAAATAAAAGAGACTAACAAAAACGATAGGCTGCCACAATCACGGTAACAGTTAAATATAATAATATTCAACTCTCACAGCGATTAACCTGACAGGCCACAGAAGGACCCACCTTGAACGGGTACCTGGCGCTCTCCTGCTCCAGGACACCTGGCTCAAACAGCTTTCCAATGAACCTCTTGGCATCATAGATGGTGTTCTGCGGGTTGTTGTCCGACAGCTCCACGGCCTCTTGTCCGGCCAGCACCGCGGTGTGGGTGAAGGTGACCGCGCTGGGGATGCTCTTCCTCCCTTCCTTATCAACAATCACCTCCACCTCCCCGCTGCCCGGGTGGAAAACACCGACGGAGCAGAAGGTGGTACCCAAGTCCAGGCCGATCACTTTGGGTTTAGGGGGAGGTAAGTACTGCTGGCCCAAATAACCGGCCAGTAACAGAGCCAGGATCACCGAACCTGCGGCACCGAAACCACGTATGTATCACGAGACAGATGTGCGAACTAAACCGGCTAGTGCTAGCATCTTGTCATGTTTGTTGTTCAACTTACCAATCATAGACATCTCTCCAGCCATCTCCAAGAAGAGTAGCGAGGTGACTCACCGCTTAAAAAGTCTGAAAACGTGGGTACGGAAGAACAAAATGCGGCAAAAACTGCGTCCGGTTGGAACTAGACGTCTTGAAACCATACGGCGAATGGTCGAATGGGTTTCAGTCAGGAAACGCAGACGTCAACGTTGTTCATTCCAATGCATTCTGGGAATTGTAGTTTTCTAACTAACACGTGGAGGCACATTGAACGTGCAACAGATGATTTTGTACTACAATACCCAAAACGACAAGCGTCTTGCTCTAAGCTAATCAGAAAGAGCCAACAGGAGCGGAAGTCGTTGGGACAGGAGTCAAAAAGCGGATGTGACTGAAACGCGGATGTTCCGGTCTGGATCCGGATCCAGACAGGAGTCAGCTGCTGTCTGGGTTGCTAGTAGCAGTTTTTATTTTTATTTTTAATTTTTGGAACATTTGAAGAGGATTTAAAAAATACTCATCCCAAAAAATGTACTCAGGTGGCTCGCGAAGATGTTGGGCTGTTCACGCTTGTAGTAACAACCAGAGAAAATTAAATTTGTAGCTACAAGAGTGATGTTTAGAACATGCACCTCCAGAGTGGCAGAGCGTGCAGCTGCAAGTGTAAGTACGGTTTTCACCACCTCTCCAGAGATGAGGAACCCAAAAGGATGTGGCTGAAAAACTTAACTTGAAAACCAGCACAAACTTTATTTGTGCATTTTTTATTTTATTGTGAAAATTCAGAGAGGAACACCTACATCCTACTTTGTTGTTGAATATGACAAACCTTTGGAGAAGCGATGCCGAGTAGTAAAGAGATCTGACAACGGTCTCACAAGAACAACAGGTGAACAATTTTATGAATAGTTATAATTAGGGATGTCCCGATCAGGTTATTTTGCCCTCGAGTACGAGTCATTTGATTTTGAGAATCTGCCGATACCGAGTCCCGATCCGATGCTTTAGATAAATAAAAAAAAAAAGAAAGAAAAGGAAGAAACAGTTCCAGAATGTTCCTTATTTGTTTTTTTATATTACCTTTTTATTTTAATTTTTAACAACAGATCACTTCTGTGAGGTAGCTTGAACAATCAAGTAATAAATAACATAAATTCTTCACTTTTAGACTTTATTGCAAGTATAAAAAGTCTAGTATAAAAACAGATTGCACTTTAACTTAAAATACCTGGCAGGGGTCTATTTTGCCTCGGCCCCCAAAATACTTAGATACGTCCCTGGGCATTGGACGGAGTTTTGAAGATGATCTGAACTAATTCCATGCTGTCGTTCTTTTTTTTTTTTTTTTTTTTTTTTGAGGACATACACATACAACACGCTTTAAAGACCTGCGGATACCCGACATGGGCAATAAACAAAGGAAAACGGCAAACAAAAACAGAAAGAATAGAACCACCTAAGCCAAGAACCAGAAACCCAGAAAGACAAGAACCAAAACCAGTGATAACCCTACCATACATCAGAGGCATAACAGAAAAAATAAGAGCAACAATGAAAAAACACAACATAAACACACCAACAAAACCATACACAACCGCTAGAAACAGACTAGTGCACCCAAAAGACAAGATACCAGCTGGACTTAAATGTGGAGTCATTTACGAAATCCCATGCAAACTCTGCAATAAAACATACATAGGAGAAACCGGACGCACACTCAACATACGAACAATATAACATAGAAAGGAGTGCGAGAGAGAAACAAGTCAAAGACACACAAGAGCAGCAAAAGAAGAAGCAGAAAGCACAATAAAGAAGTCAGCCGTAACAGATCACTGCATAAGAGAAAACCATGTAATGGACTGGGACAACACAAGGATCATAACCATTGAACAACAAAAATACAAGAGATGGATTAAAGAAGCAATCGAGATAAGGAGACGTGGATGTGGGACCATGAACAGGGACGACGGAGTTTACACGTTGGACCGCGCATGGGACTGCATCGTCGGAGAGGGGAGAGCGGGCAGCAGAGGGTAACAACGTCCTCTGCTGCCCGCGGATAAACGGAGAAGGAAGTGACGCGCCACCATCAGCGTCAGCCTGAGGAAGCCTGCAGCCGTCGGCGAAACGTGGTGACAAAACAGGTAACAAAACTGTTTCTGTGTTTTACAAAAAAGAACGACAGCATGGAATAAGAACTAATACACAGCAAGAACACACCTAAGATGATCTGAACTGTATCAATCGGGTGGACTGCCCTATCTGGCATTCTGGCACTGTCCCGGTGGGCCGCTTAGCCAAGTGGGCTGCTTGCCCAGCTTGGGCCGACACTACTCCACAGCTGGTGATCTGCAGAACATTAGCTACATGGTAAACCAAAGCTAACAGAGTTTTCCCAGGCGTTTTTAGCGAGAAAATTGCGGTAGAGCGATGACGTAGGAGTTGTTTTACCGCGTTAGCATGTAGCTAATGTCTCGCTGATCTCCGCCTATGGATAATGAGCTGATCTTGAAGGTCAGGACTCCTGGTCGCAGCGGTCTGGCACTGCTTGTAATTTAACAGTCCCAGTCCATACTAGATCTCACATTCGACGTAGAGACGAGTCCGCGGGCGGCAACAACCCCACCCCCACCGCTCTCCCAATTGGGAGGGCAGACAATTCGTAAAAATGTTAGGGCCAAATTTTGGTCCCAGTCCACCCCTGGTATCAACTATATAAATCCTACATGCTGATAGATTATTGCTTTATACAGGTACAAACGTGTAGTGGGAAATCTACCTACATTTTATTTTTTAAGAATTTTGTTTTTTTTTCTTGGTTTTTATTTTCCTATCTTCCTGTCCTGTCTGTCTCTGTTCTTCCTGCATCTCCCAGTCCTCCAGAAAAACTCCTGCCTGCTTCCTTCTTTTTCACCTCACAAGTAACTTTTTAACTAGCAGATCAAATTGATCTATTGACCGCAAAAAAAGCGGAGTGTGCGCTGCGCTGCCCGGCTGAGCCAGTGATGAGCGCTGCAGCACGAGCGCGTCCACACCTCATGCTCAAATCCAGACAGAACTTACCAGAGAGAAAATGAACGGACACGAATGACTGTGTGTTAATTATATATATTTTGGTGACGCCACTTAGAAACTTAGAAAATGTTACTGTGGCCGTGTGCAGAATGCAGCTGGAGTTCATGAATAATCAGCGGTCTGCCTGCCGCTCTCTGCATCTCTGCTCAAAAGAATCCATATAGTGGTGTGCATCTCTACCTGCCTCACGATTCGATCCGATTCCGATTATCTGCCTAACGATTCGATTTGAGTCTGAAATGCATCACGATTCTTCACACAAAAATTTTCATTACTTAATAAAAGCAGTAGAATAGTTTTCAATTTCTTTTTGATTTAGAAATCCCTGAAAAACAGAACATTCATCTATTCACTATAGTGAGCAACAATTTTTAAAGTGTGCTGCCTATAATTACTTAAATAATATAAGAAATAATGTTTTCGGTAGAGCAGCTTTAAGATAGAATATTACTGAACTTGAAAATAGTAAACAAATACTGTGTTAAGTGATTCTTTCACATCCAGGATCCCAAAACCGAAATTAGCCCAGTTATCCGATTTAAATGTAACGGGTACATCTTTGATTACTGGTAATGTTGGCCCTGTATCCTGTCCGCCATTTCTGTTTTAAATTGGCGCTAGGGCAACGTAGTGCGCATGTCATTGCAACTCTGCCCCCAGAAGTAATTGTAAAACCTCAAAACTTTATTGTCCTGCATAGACATAGACCAGGGGTCGGCAACCTGTTCCCATCAAAGAGCCATTATTACCCGTTTCCCACAGTAAAGAAAACACCGCAGCAGCCGCGGCGTTGTGGGCGGGGCCTACCCTCAGACAGCAGAGAGCTGCCCACAACAGGTGACAGCAGCCAGTACCGGTCGCTCGTGTACGTCAAAGTTATCTTTCATAAGACGAGAATCAATAAAATGATTTATATAAAGTGGATCCAGAAGTTGTGGCCCATCTCTGCCTACAGTATTTTGATATTTTTCACCCTGTTGGTGGTTTTACTGAGCAGGTGCCACTTTTGTCATACGTTTCTTTTTAAAACAGGTTTAGACTGTTCAGAATACAAATCCAGGCTCTGTCACGTTTGATTGTTGTAATTAAACTTTGTAGGTGGGGAAGGTCAGAAAAGGATCCGATCAATTTGTTTTTCCCTCATTTACAGTGACGGAGATAACGGCGCAGTGCGCCTGGCTCTGGTGTTAATCAAGTTAAATTTTATCTCTTTGCAACAATTTTCACAAGAAAACAGAACAGTTAAAAGCAGGGCTTGTGTTGTGTTGACCGGACAGTTCCCGTATTTGACCGTTTATTTTGACGGAGAAAGAATAGAAAGAATTACCCCGACGCATGCAGACGAACTGACACTTAATTCGTTTCGCGCAGATGTAGCTAAATCGCTCAAGAAAAGATTCCCATCTGAACATCTGAGCTGGACACGGAGCTCAGCGCAGCTCACTGTCAGCGCGTACGTACGGCGCACAGCGAGCTGAAGATGTGGAGAGGGGCTTGGAGCACGTCGCAGAACCAGAGCGCATGCAGGAAGATTCCCCCGACTGAAGCAAGACTTGTCACTTAGAAAATGTTCCCTGATTATGAAACTTTGGCTGAATAGTGCTTGTTCCTGTCTCCAATGTGGCGACACATCCAGGAGCTGAGGAGAGTCCCAGAATCTCACATCCTCGTCAGCTCAGGAAGCGCCGATATGATTACGCACAAGCGTGACCCGTCAACCCGGTCTCACAGTAAGACCAGGTTGGACCTGTTCAGGTTTACACAGACAATCTTTACATTTAGAATTGGCATACAGATGTAAAATTAATTCAGTAAAATATAAAGCATTTTATTTAAATATCCATTCATTATTTTACAAGCACAGAGAGCTGCATCAGATGGATGGAAGAGCCGCATGCGGCTCCAGAGCCGCGATTGCCGACCCCCGACATAGACATAGGGAGAAAATCTCATTATGTCACGTTGCTGCATCGATGCGGAATCATGCACGGCTGAATCGCGATGCATCTTAGAATGGATCATTTTTCCCACCTCTACATGACACCCACTCTGTTTTGAAGACATCGACTCTAACTCTCTTCTTCTTCACCACCAACTGAACCTCATCACAATGACCCAAAGCATAGAAGTAAACAAGAAAATATGCCTTCTAGAGTGGCCAGTCAGATTCCTGACCTCAACTGGACTGAGATGCTGTGGCATGACCTCAAGAAAGCGATTCACACCAGACATCCCAAGAATGTTGCTGAACTGAAACAGTTAAACCGGAATAGTCCAGAACTAACCCTGATTTGCAACTACAGGAAATGTTTAATTAACGTTATAATCAACGTAATTTTCACTTTAGAAGTGTGTGTGTGTGTGTGTGTGTGTGTGTGTGTGTGTGTGTGTGTGTGTGTGTGTGTGTGTGGGGGGGTATCTTTACAGTATGGTCTAATGGGATACAGGCTTCAACACAAACTGTTGTTTTCCACTAGGTCCTTGAGCTCAACCAGTGTCAATTTAATATAGTGTAATATTGTTTTTGGATGGTAAAAAGTGCAGGGGTCAAAAATTGACTTTGGAAAAAGTGTGTGTGTGTGTGTGTAGGGGGGTGTGTAGAGTCGGCTTCATCCTGTAAACAAACAAACAAATGAGTGGTAACAAAAACACCACGTCTGGTTCTGGTGGAGGCGGAGGACAACATGCACCTTTCCAGGAGCAGAACCCAGATGTTCTTGTTGCTACAAACAGAGACGAGCAGAGTTAAACCAGGAAGTGAGAGGGACCAGCTGCTGCAGACAGGTGACGCTCACCTGAGCCTGAACCATAGGAGCCTCCTCAGCCATCAGACCTTCTGACTCCAGTTCAGATGCCACCTTGTTGATGTCCCTCAGGCGGGACTCGTTGGCCTTCAGGTCCTGCAGGACAAAAGCACCTGCTGATCACCTTGTTGCTGTCGGGTTAACAGGTCTGGTGTTAGAACGTGGTGGATAAGAATGTTCTGACGGGCCGAGGGTTCTGAACTCACCCTGCAGGACTGGGCCTGCTCCTTCAGGGCCTGGATGCTGCTGCCGTAAGCCGACAGGTCCGACATCAGGGCCTCGTGCTTCTTCAGGAGAGCCTGTGGAGCAGAACATCAGAACTTTCAGCTCGTCTGACACAAGTGGAGCTTTCTCGCAGCGATGGTCCAATCGGATCCGCCACCGTAAAACAAACCCTGCTCAGTTCACCGCAGACGTAGCTCTGCGGGTGTTTAGTGGAAAAGCGTGAGCCTTCTGCCGGCTGCCACGTGTCATGGCTGCTCTGCAGCGGGAACACACATCACAGCTTGTAAACTGTTTGAAATAAGAGCGACGGGAACACGTTTGTCATCACTTCCTGTGCGAGGCCAGCACTTCTACCCCTAACCCATGAGACGCTCAAACGAGCAACGACGTCTGGTAGACAACCGAAGGAAATGACAAATACAGAAACACTAATTATGAAGGACTGGAAAGAGAGCAAAGAAAAGCGATTGGAGTTTCTCAGGAAGGGACTTCCATACCTCGGCCAAGTCCTCGTCTTTCCCTTAGTCTGGACTTCCAACGATGGGCTCCTTCTCCCTCATCCAGGACTCAGCCTCATTAGCATCCGCAAAGTACTGCTGGGCCTGCAGAGAGTCCTCCAGGTCCTGCCTCCTCTGGGACGCCTTGGCCTTCAGCGTGTCCCAACGTCCATGAAGCTCCCACAGTTTAGTCTTCACTTCCTCACCAGCGAAGTGACCTGGACCCAAAAAAAGTGAGCCAGAACCTGCAGACACCTCAGAAACATGTCAGGACCAGACCTGCTCTACCTTCCTCCACCATGGTCTCTCCTTTCTGGGTGACAGCCTTGATGCGAGGTTCATGACCTGTGATCTCAGCCTGCAGAGCCTGGTGCTTCTTCAGCAGGTTCTGGACACCAATCAGGTCCTTCCCTGAGGACACATGTTAGAGTTCAGCATTATGCAGTAGACAGACCAGTTTAACCCAGGGGTTTCTTTCTTCTACAATCTGCTCTTTAACTGTATTATTTCCTGCTATTTCAGCTGTTAACTTTATTTTTTCTCTAAGTGTTTTTCTCCCCAGAAGAAGCTACAATGATGTTCTGCTGAGCTGTGGTGGCCTCATGGAGGGGGCCATCGTCTAGCACACTGCTGCTAACCACTTAAACATTCTCCCTCTCCTGATAGTAACATTTTACTTTCTTTGATGTTGGATGTGCTAATACTAGTTTACCCGTTTAATTATAGATTCACTAGGATAAATACAATAAAGTTTATCTCTCGCCAAATAGAATATTTACTGTGGCGAGCCCGTGAAGAGGTGTAGGAGAATGCGACAAATTTGTCTGTTAAAAAGTCTGTTATGTACAAAAAACACAATATCATCACACTATTTTGGACCGATACATGACGGTCAGGTCCAGCTTGGGGAGAAAATATGACACGTCTTTCAGGATGGACTTCATCTTTGGTAGCTGGCGAAGCCGGGAAAAGCAGGATCTAACCACCTGGCTAATGTGGGAGTCCATCCGCATCTCTGGGTCCAAAACCACCCCCAGGTTAGTGATGGTAAGCTGCAAAAACAGGGTTGCAGGACAGGACTAACTGCAGTGGGAAAGGGAGGAACAAATATTCCAGTTATAAATATTAAATATTTGAACAAATAAATATTTGTTAAAAGGAAGAAACTGATGATGACTTTAAGATTAGAGGAATGTTCTAGAACGGGTCTGGAACCAACGATGGCCCTTTGGATCAAATTTGGATTAAAAAAATAGCTCATGATTTTATTTATGGATGGAATAAAAATACAGGTTTTAAGCATCTTCTCAGTATCTTCATGTTGCACGACTTTCCACAGCAGAAGGACTCAAAAACTGCCAGAATTATGATTAGAAAGATTTACGTTTTAATCTCAGAATCCCAACTTTTCCCAGAATCTTCACATTATTCTATGAATTCAGAGAAAATATACATTTTTCAGAGGTCTCGCTCCCCTGTTGTGGATATTTCTCAAAATTCAACCATTTTTTCTTTTCAAAAGCTTTAGTAAGAGTTTGGACTCTAAACAAGTTTTACTTTGCAGACTGCTTGTCTACACCTTCATCAGATCTGCTCATAAGAAAACATTTGGGTTATATTTAATGTCTAGAGAAGATGTTCTTCCTGGGCATTAAGTTATCAAAAACAGATAAAAGTATTTTTTACCATAATGTTAACTGCTATCAGCTGATAAAAATAAAAACAGCCTGATCATTAAAGGGGTGTAAGTGAAACCGCGCGGATCACACAAACCATCATGCTGTCTATATGACTTTGAAAATATATAGTTTAATTACAGTTTGATTTATTTGACATCTGTATAATGTTTATTATTTTGTTTTTTCCCCCTAAATGCCTAACGTTTTAGTTTTACATGAATATTAGTCATTCATCACAATACATAAAGTTACACATTTTAAATTTTAATAGGGGAAGACTGCAGGAGGGAGCGGTAAAATACAGAAATCCCCAGCAAAAACAAGAAACTTTACGAGTCTGATGAAACCCGCTGGAGTTCCTTCAGCAGGCCTGGTGGCAGCTACAACGGCCCAGTGGCTGTGCTTGGTCAATGTTATCGAGCTCAGTCCGGCTCGGCCGTGAACGAGCCGAGGCGACATCCTGCTCTGCTTAAGAAGAAGTGTTATTTTCCGCTTCAGAAGAAGCGTCCGTGTTTTACGCTTTCTCAGAGACATGTCACGTCGCTAAGTTGTTAGCGCCGCGCGCGAACACGTCAATAGTGCAGCGTAGCCTGCTGGAGGTTTTAAGGGTTCAGATGAAAACACCCTACCACTCAGGCTGCTTACACATCGATATTAAGTTGTCGCTGTTGCGCTCAAGCCGTAATACAGTATTAGATGCGGTTAAAGTCAGACATGAAAAACTCCACGAGCGGTCAGACCGCGCAGCAGCTAGGCGCAGCAAGTAGGCGCCGGATCGGTCGGGGATTACCGGATGAAAGAATGGAGCACAGGTGTCCCTCCAAGCGGCGCGCTGCGTCATCTTTCAACCCATTTTTATCTTAAATGCACTGGGTTTTACCCTTTTACCCATCGAAATATGCCCTATTAATTATTTTACCGTATTTTACATTTAAATTTCATGGTTAAACAGTACATGCTACACGTTAAAATGATAGTTAGCTAGCTACTTCGGTAAACTCAGCTAGGCAGCAGTGACATAAAATACAAATATAGATTTTAACTTACCGAAAAAAATGAAGTGGAGACTCCTTGGACGCTCTATTAGTGCAATTAATACCACAGCAAGTCATTTTGTCCAACAATTGCACCAATAATATCCAAAACAGAATTCACAAGCACAGAGACTCAAAATCCCGACACAGTTTCCAGGAGAGACCGAGGCTGTACTGAGGCCTTTCCACGGAGCTAGCTGTGGTCACGTGGGTCTGAGGCGGCGGTCACGTGTGTCGGATGCTCATTAATTATACAGAATTTTAGGCTTTCAATACACTTAAACAGAAGAGTGAGAAAAAAATTCACCCCCCTCAGAGTTGTCATGAGTATAAACTAGATAATTTAGACAAAAAACCATTTTTTGAACCAGGCTGTAAACATGTTTATTTCTGCTGTGAAAATGGCATTTTTAACATGGGGGTCAATGAGGATTTGCTCGCTTCTGGTACCAGCCCCCAGCGGATGAGGCTGGAACTGCAATTTTTCTTACTTCCGGGATGGGACCATTTTTAGAGCGGCATTGTGGGGGCTTGATTTCATCAAAAGCAAAGGCTCAAAAAAGACACTAATCTCTGGTTTATTTGGTTGTCATAGCTAGTTAATTTCTATAGCCAGTTAAATAGGAATGTTCAATGACAACCTAAAAAGTCTAAAAGTGTATTTCACAGTCTTTTATTCATTTATTTACAAAAGGATGAGAAAAATAGATTAATACTGGTTTTGATGTCAATGTACAGCTGTACTCTTTTTTTTTCTTGTTCTCTCCTCCTGACACACACGTTCAGATTTAGGTAAAAAAACATGGAACTTGTTGCTAAACACATTGTTTATGTTATTCACATTCACAAGCATCAATTCAGCCATGAAAAACAATAAAGTGAAGGTCAAAGTGAACAGAACACATTAGGCAATGAAAAAAAAATGATGCAGCTGTGATAAATAAAGGTTTAAACATGTACAAAATCATTCAATGCAATAAATACAACTGACAATAAAACAACACCAATTAAAAACACCAACCGTCTACAAACAAAAACTTATGGCTTTTACACTAATAAAGCAACAACAGGATGAGGTGACATTAAGAGTGCTGGCTGGCTGATATCCTTTCATGTATCACACTGTAATAAAACTCTGACTGTAGAGAAATCAGGCTGGAATGGGGAAGGTAAACATGGCATTCAGAGAAGATTAAAGGATCAGTCTTTAAGCTCATTATTAGTATACCATTTCCCCAAAACTATGCAACTTTTACTTCTAAATGACATCCGTGAGCACTTTAGGCATCCACCTCCGCTGTGGCCTGCTCAGTGTCTTCCTTAATGTCTGAACACTCAGAAGGGATGAAGCAGCCCGAGTCTCTGGGACAGTCGCTGTCTTCTTCCTGCTGGCTGTGGGAGGATCTGTGCTCCCCTGTGTCACAGACATCATCACCTACAGCAGCAAAACAAGCAAATGTTAGAATATTACTGAGAAAATATCAAATATCACTGGAGGAAATACAAAATACAGTTTTCAGATGTTTTCCTTTATTGTGGGAGGAGCTAACCTTGCCCTGTGATTAAGTAAAACTTATAAGTGGTTGTAACCACCTGTAAACAAACACTTTTGATACTTGGTAATGAGCCACTCACAACACTGCTGAGTAGTCCCACTCCTTCACAGAATAGTTTAATTTCAGCCATGTTTGATGGTTTTTCAGCACGAACAGCTTATTTGAGGTCAAAGGTCAGACATTCCCCTTCAGGGTTTTCTGCTAGAGAGCAGACTTCATGTTTCCATCAATTGCTGGTCCAGGGGTCTCATTTATAAAACATTGCGTAGAATCCTTACTAAAACCGTACTTACGCCAAGTAGGTTTGTCACCTATCAAACATGGAGTACACACAGCTGCACGCGATCTCCGCTTCATAAATCAGAGACTAAAGAGAAAGGTTCTCGGCTGCATTTTAGTCACATCTCCCCTCACCACACCCACTTACTGCCATAAATGGTCAATGCAAAGTGCCTTGTGGATCTCATGCATATAAATGAGCTGGCTTGTTGCTGCATTGCGATCGCGACCGCAGATCAAGGAAGCGCTATTTCACAAGCAGAAATTGAGGTACTTGTGGGTGAGGTGGAGAAATGAAAGGAAATGCTTTTGCAAAACAAATAAGAGAAAATCCATGGAGTGGCACAGCGTTGCTGAAGCCGTCAATGCTGTGAGTTCGTCAGAGAGATCTGTGGCGGATGTAAAAAAAATGGTCCGATCAGGATTCGATCCCCGGACTCCCGGGTGAGGGTCACGCATGCTATCTAGTCAGCCGAAAGGTCATCTTCTTTAACCAAGTAGCCAGGGTGCACAATCAATCAGGTGACAGTGACAGGATGCTCACACTGTCACAGACGCATGGCATTCTGTCTTCGGCCTCCCTGCTGAATTTCAGCATTCAGCTTCAGGCTGTGTGTGTGTGTGTGTGTGTGCATGTGCGTGTGCGCACGCATGCATGTGTGCATGTGGGGGGGGGCTTGTTCTGTGTGCGCACGAAGCAGTACAAGTGATAACTCTGCTGGAATTCATAATTGTATCCTTCTCAGCAGCAGCACTGCAGCTGCTCTCCATGTTCAACATGTGCGTAAGCCAGGCTCTTACCCCAAAATTCCACTATCTCCGCTCCGCTCCGCCCCCGCTTTCCGCTGCCGCTCGCTTCCGAACTCAAATTATACTAGTCTCCGCTCTACAACGGCTCCGCTCCGGTGCAGAGACCTGAGGTGCGCAAACAAGCATGTGCGGGATTTTCGAGATCTTGCGATACAGTCCGAGCAATAAATGCGGAAGTTAGATCCAAACATCCGTTGAGTGGGAGAAGCATCGAAATGAACTGTTTGATCTGCCCATCATTTGTGTTGAGAGACCAGCAGTGTTTGGATCAACAAAGGCTGACTACTTTGATAGTGGAAACTGTATTCATGGCTTACTTTTGTGCATTTAAAGTTCAGCCACCATTGATAGTTGTTAAAAATTGTTAAACCTGTGCATATGAAACAAAAAATGCTTTTTGTTTATCGATTTATTGTGAAATAACGGAAGTTGTGCTTGCGCCGCACGGCCGCAGTAGTGGAACAGCTCTGATTGATTACAACGGGACCGATTTTGCTTCCGACTTCGTGCCGGAGCGGAGCAGAGATAGTGGAATTTTGGGGTTAGTCAACTTAAAGTTGCGCACATATTTCCGCTAACATTTCTTTTATAAATCCCAAAGTTTGCGTGGAAAGTTGCTTACGCAGTTTTCCAACTCTGTTTTGTGCGTAAGCAAGCTTGATAAATGAGACCCCTGGTCCCGAAACAGCAGAGCAGTCCGGACCATTGAGCGACCACTGATGGCTGTTTTAGTGGTAGTTTTACTCCAGATGTAACAGGACACACCTTCCGGAAAGTTCTATGTTTGTATCAAAGGCTTTGATGGGACCAAGACATCTATTAAGGAGTGTTTTTCATTTGGTTTATTCAAGACCTTTGACCCCCAACCCTCACAAAGTAATGCCTGCTGTGCTTTAAAGATCAAGTTCGCTCTTTTTCTTATTTAAACACATTTGCGGTGGTCTCTACGGTGAGTACGAGTCGATCTGTGTGGGACAGAAGCTCTGATGCTACTGTTCCAGGAAGTAGATGTTAGCCAGAGTAGTAGGAAACAGAACACGGCAGGATCTGGAATATTATTTCCTGATATTTGGACATCTTGACTCAAACAACACAACCTTGGATGAGTTCTGCTATGTGGTGGAGCTGCTAATGCTAGTGGTCAGCTTCTACTAGACGAGACGTTCTCTGTTGTTTGCTGGACAACAACAGCCTTCCCCGTTGTGTGCCAAGATGGGTGAGTCCATGAACGCTAATTTAGTGTGACGTAGATCTGTCAGGCTTTTCTAATCCGAGTTTCCTCTAGTTTATATCAGAAGCTAACGCAGAAAGTTTAGCTAGAAGACCATTTTCTTGTTTAGCCTGCAACTCAGAGTGACAGATGGTATTTAGAGAATAACAAGTAAACAGTTTCTCAGTGAACTTAGTCTTTAAATGTTGTTAGGTGTTCTTTCATTTGTGGATTTTCTTTAGATTGAGGCTTAATTAGTTGCTTTTGTGATCTTTTAGCCTACTTCATGCTTTCGGACTGGTTTTATTGTGATGTTTCCTTAATTCTTCAGGTCTGACAATGGTAAGGCCTTTGATATTACCATGGAAACTGAACTCTTTCCAAATGACGTGAGAAATCACAGTTGATTCATGATTTAATAAGAGGATTTTCTTTTCAGGTTTGTTTGGATTAGATTTATTCCCTCATTAAATAAATTCATAATTTGAAAACTACTTCCTGTTTTCACAAAGGTGAATTGGTACAATATAAAAATTAGGTTTGCTGATCCGAAACATTTGAGTGCAACAAAAAAAGACTGAACTCGAGTTTGTTATCAGGAAATGTGTCAGTGGCTTTTTGTGCAAGCAACTGGCCCAGATATGATCTTGTGACCCAGCAGCAACAACATCAGAAAATAAAACCTTCATCTTCAGTTTGGTTTTGTTTGTTTTCTGTTCTAAACGAGGACAACGCTCCATCTCTATTCCATACGTCTGAAGCTACTAATCCTTCTGGGCAGAATGCAAACCTAAAGGAGTCAAGCTTGATTAAATTACTGGCAGCTGACGTGTGTCAACAAGCTGCAGCAGATGCCATCTGTCGGACACAACTAGTCGCCTCTAGTTGGTTCACAACAACCTGGAGTGGATTCATTAGACTTTAATAGTTGGGCTGTAAACCCACCACTGAATGATGTTCCCTTTTTTCACAAGAAGAGCACAGTTTTGTTTTTATTCATTTCTGTGAGATGGTTAGCGTATCGCTTCAAGACTTCAGATTACAGGAACACCTTCTGTCCTGCTAAGCACTTTCTGTCTGAGTAACAGGAAGTCAGTGAGATCTGAAGCCTCAGCTTCAGGATAAGTTTCAGTTCAATTTAAGGCAACACTAAAAGTTTTTAACACCTTCAGCTATTGTTTTCAAACTGGTTTCAGTGGTTCTCCATCCATCTATCCATCTATTTTCATCCAGCGTCGGGTCGCGGGGGCAGTAGCCTAAGGCGAGAGGCCCAGACTTCCCTCTCCCCAGCCACTTGGGCCAGCTCCTCCGGGGGAATCCCAAGGCGTTGCCTGGCCAGGTGAGAGACATAGTCCCTCCACCGTGTCCTGGGTCTACCTTTATGTCTCCTCCTGGTTGGACGTGCCCGGAAAACCTCACCAGGGAGGCGTCCAGGAGGCAATCTAACCAGACGCCCGAGCCACCTCAACTGGCTCCTCTCGATGTGGAGGAGCAGCGGGTCTACACCAAGCCCCTCCTGAATGACCGAGCTTCTCACCCTATCTCGGAGCCCAGCCACTATTCAGAGAAAACTCATTCCGGCCGGTTGTATCCGTGATCTCGTTCTTTCGGTCACTACCCAAAGCTCGTGACCATAGGTGAGTGTAGGAACGTAGATCGACCGGTAAAACAAGAGCTTCGCCTTCTGACTCAGCTCTCTCTTCACCACGACAGACCAGTACAACGCCTGCATCACTGCAGATGCAGCACCAATCCGCCTATCGACCTCATGCTCCAGTTTTCCCTCACTCGTGAACAAGACCCAGAGATACTTAAACTCCTCCACTTGGGGCAGGACCTCATCTCTGACCCGGAGAAGGCATTCTACCCTTTTCCGAATCAAGACCATGGTCTCAGATTAAGAGGAGCTGATTCTCATCCCAGCTGCTTCACACTCGGCTGCGAACCGCTCCAGCGAAAGCTGAAGATCACGTTCTGATGAAGCCAACAGGACCACATCATCTGCAATAAGCAGAGACATGATCCTCAGGCCACCAAAACGGATGCCCTCCACAACTTGGCTGCGCCTAGAAATCCTATCCATAAAGGATTCAGTGGTTCTTGAACCAGATATTTGAGCAGCTTCACATGGGACAACACCCTGTCGCCCTCTGCTGACCAGAAACTGCACCTAACAGATTTGTGGTTCAGCTGGAACACTAGTGGGAGCTCTCTACCTGCTTTACAGCATTAGCTGCTTACTGGGTCGGTAGCTCATATTACGGCTAGCAGTTAGCTTTTTCAGTTCACTGACCAATAAAAAGCACAATAAAATAAAATAATTTAGCTTTTTCTGTTGGCATCATGGCATACGCTGGAAGCAGAGGTGTGGACTTGAGTCACATGACTTGGACTCAAGTCAGACTCGAGTCATTATTTTAATGACTTTTGACGTGACTTGATAAAATCTATAAAGACTTACGACTTGACTCGGACTTGAACGCCAATGACTTGCAACTTGACTCTGTTGACTTGGTGATGACTTGAGCATGTTTGATATTTTAGCACAAAAGTGGCCTGACAAGGACAAAAATCATAAATCGTTCTTCGTTCTGGGTTTGATCTTGTTCTGCTAAATGCAGCAGCACTTTGTTTATTATCAGTTTCAGTTGCTCTTTCTGCTTGTGTGAGCAAATAAATTAAGCTTTAAGAAGCTATTTTTCTGGAATCTATTATCATTGTCATTAAATTGAAGTTGGACAAATGACTTGATTATGACTTGAAAATTCAAAGTTAAGGACTTGGACTTGACTTGGACTTCCATATCATTGACTTTGGACTCGACTTGGACTTGGTTGTCTTTAACTTGGACTTGACTGGAAAGACTTTTGACTTGTGACTTGCAAAGCAGTGACTTGGTCATGCCTCTGGCTGAAAGTAAGAGAGTATTGTCTTTGGAAGTGAAACAAAGAACTAAAACACAACACTGAAGGAGGATACGAAGCCACTGACTGATAGTGACCTGGCTTTGTTACTACTGTAAGTAATACTGTTCTTTTTAGAAAACATAACCTGTCGAATCATTAGTTCTGTTTGTTTGCACCTATTAAAGTACTCAGGACCAGTTTGCTCCAGCCATTCTTTCTCCTCTACATTTGATGTCCCATGAGCTGTTGGAGCACCTGGTGTTCCTCTGAATGATGCGCGACGTGCTCTTCTACTGTTCTTTTTACTTTGTGGCTCTTTTGTTATCAGTTAGCTCGTGTTAGTATTAGCTACAACAGTCTGCTGCTGGGTTGTTTATGACCATCTTAATTCCGCTTTGAACCAGTGGGAGGGAGAAGCGGGAAACTTATTAAGTGTTGCTTTAAATACTCTGTAAAAAAGGGAAATTCTAACATTAATGTTTAATCTCAGACTTGTTTGATTCTCAAAACAAAATGCCGATTTGATTAATGCAGATTTTTATCTCCAGGGACATTTAGAGGCACTTTTCTGTAAAACAATTAGTTCACCTGAGAGGACGCACATGCTTGCTTACATATTTAAGTTAGCGTCGAAGTTTTACCTAAACATGTTTCATCGTTAGTTTCACACCTTTGTGCCAATCTTACTGAATCGTGACTCAATTCAGAATAAATTTGACAGAAAATGGGGCAGAATGTAGGAAAAGACTAATATAGAGTGTTAATATTTGTGGAATATTTCATCCACAGCGCTCTGGGAGCTCTTTATGATTAGAAATTAGAAGGTTAAACAATCTGTTAATGCTTTTCAGAGCTGATTTCTGATCTGAGGGTGTTCATTGCTCCTGACCTTCTATGTATCTGAGCTCCGCTGCAGTGAGAAGCTTCCGTCTGTGCTCGGGGTCCTTGACGTTCAGCTCAATCAGGTGTTTCTCCTGCAGGTGCTGCAGGTCTTCCACCGTCTGGTAGCCGTTCAGCAGCAAGGCGGAGGCGTACTCCTGCAGCAACACAACCATGAGAGTGACCATCTGAAAACTGTGATGTGAAATGTTCTGAGAAGCATCTTTGCTTTGCTGCCAGACCGGATCGTGTGATCCTCACCTCCAGCTTCAGCCTCTCCAGTAACTCCAGCAGTGTTTTGGGTCGAGGTCTTTTGCACAGCTTCTGCTGCCTGATCTTTGGCGCTTCCTCTTCATCCTCTTTCTCCACCAAAACATCCACATAGATGAACTTGAAGTTGCCCACTTTGTTGTTCAGCATCCCGGTCCAGATGCCCATTGGAGGCTTACTGATGATGTTGATGATGTCACCAACCTGGAACAAATGATAATAATGAAATTATTTACTATCTGCCCACAGACCCAGGGAGAGTCTTGACTTTAATAATTAATTTACTTTCAGTTTCAGGGAGTCCGTGTCGTACGGACTGGGAACGAAGTCCGTGTGGACCCGAGCCCGGCCACAGAACTGGCCCTGGTAGGAACCGTCCTCCTCCAGCTTCAGACTGTCCCTCTGACCAGAACCATTGGACTCACTGGTCACACCACCTGAACCATCAAACACGTTCTAATGAAACAGCTCTGGCTGCGTTTGTGTGTTTTGTGTTCAGACACTCACTGGAGGAGCTCCGTCCGCTGTAAAGACTCTCCAAAGAGTTGCTGGTCTTTGTGGAGGTTTTCTCAGCTGGGGGACAATTTTCTGTCTCTGCCTCTGGATCTTTGTCTGTGTCATCGCCCTGGAAATAAAATAGATTACCAAAGATGCAAGAAAAATCCCCACGTGTAGATGGAGGATGTGAAATGAACTTTCAGCTTGTCTTCTGGTCTATCTGGGTTCCAGCAAAGCACAAAACAACAGAAGGTGATTTTTTTTTTACATCAGAGAGTAAAACTGCAGTTCAGTGATATCACCGGTGACAACATCCTGTTTAAACATGTGGGTTTCTGTCAGATGAAAGTGATATGAACAGCAGCAGTCTGTAAATGAGGCTGACGTGTGCAGCAGCTACAAAGGGGCTTTCTGATCATTCACACACAACAAAAATACAGATTTACAGGTAAAAAGAAAGGTGTTTATTTCATTCTGAATAAAGCGACTCACTGTCTCCTCCGATAAAGACTTTCCATGCTTTTTGCCCATTTTCCTTCTCATGGTGAGTGAAATCTCCTTCATCTTCTTCCCGAGTCCGGCTGATTTGCTCGGATCTGGACTTTCAGTTTCTTCTCTGAGCTGAGGAACAGAACAGAACAGAAAATGATCAAATTTAAAGCAAATTGTTTGCATTTCTGATCTCTAACACACGGTGAATTGCAACACTTCGATGAACCTCGCTTTTTAAAAATTGGTTCAAGTTTACGTGCAAAAAAATTCACGATCCTGACATGTCCACTTGACAGTAGAGACACTCGTTTTGCTATTGGTGAAGTAGAATAAATCAGAGTTAACAAACCATATGTGTTCCATTTTCCTCTGCTTTTGCATGTGGCGAGTTGTGTCTGAGGCCCTCAAACCTGCCGAAGCTCGTGGAGCGCTGCAAGAAACGTCTCACATCACTCATGTAACACTGGTGGTTTCACAGCAACAACTGTCTGGGGTTTTGACCAAAACTAAGTATCGTTTGTTCAATCTCAATGCAAAAATGTAAAGTGCATACTTTACTAAAATATGATTGTATTGTATTGTCCCCAGAGTGGTTCAGAGTGTATCATAAGTTGCAGATCTTTTCGTAGAGGTGCCCAGATAGGTTCACCGCTAAAACCATGGAGCTATCAGTTAGCTTTGCTCTGGCAGCTCTGTTTTTTCATAAAACTAAAAGTCATCCTAATCTCTCCCAAACCCCCCTCATCCCCTCACCAGAGCGCCAAAAATAATTATATAAATGGATAATCTCTGGAAATCCTGGTTAAATATGAGCTCCATGCTCCTAGATAGCCGTCTGGAGATTGAGTTAATGCAGAGGAGATTTTATTATTTCAGAGACAGTTTTTCCTCTTATTTAACAGTTCTTTTTTAATTAATGTAATTAATTTAAGATATTTAACACTGAATTCAAACATCCCAGCTGTTTCACAAAAACTTTTTTGCTTATTTTTGAAAGTATTTGTGTTTATTTTAGTCAGAGGAGACATTTGAACATCTGAGCTTGTTTTAAAGTGATTCACCTACCTTAGGTTTGCTGCTCCTAGCTTTGTCTGACACATTTGATGCGGCTCTTTGTAACATTTTTCTTGAGTTTTTGCCCCTGAGAGTCAGCCACTGCTCTTTTCTCGCCTCTCGTCTGACAGTGGTGTGTTAACTAAGCCAAAGGCTGGCTCGCTTCCTCACAGAACACAGGATATGAGGCAATTCACACTGTGTCTTTCACTGCAGCATCTCGTTGAAAGGGAAAAATACAAATGCTTAAGTGTGCATAATTTGTTGCCTTCTCTCAGAAGCACATGACGAACCACTTCCAGGAACTTGTGCAATTCGGTTTTCTAATTGTGTTTTTTCTTGGTTCAGAATAACAGAGATAACCCGATGAGGAGGCGCTTACATCACGGCAGAAAACGTCTGTTTTAATTTTACTAAGTGTAAGTCAGTAGTGAATTACATGGGTCATAATGTGATTACCCTCCATGACAATAAATCTCATTATGTAAGACTTTTTATTAATTTCTGGCAGGAAAAACAAATGTAAAAGACATAAAAATTTTCACACTTCCTGAAAAAATTCCCCTCCATCTTAATGAGGTAACTTGGTTTTGGTAAATGATGCAGGAGTAAATATTGGTTTCCTAATGTGTGTTTTTGAGGAAGTGCTCACGTATGACACAGGAACTTTGCCTTTCCGGTGGATCTGCTCTGAAGTTTTTTCCAGTGGAGGAAAGGTAAAAACAAACAAGGGGTCTGGGGCTTCTCTGGTGGCAGTCTCTCTGGGGGGTCTCTGCACTCCGGAGGAGACCTCTGGATCTTTGGGACTTGTAATTTCTCTTCTGTGGGTCTTTGGGGCAGGTCTGTGGCCCCTCACACTCACTCACACTCCTATAGAGAAACCTTGCATACACAAGTGTGTGTTCGTGCACAGGTGCTCACATGGTGCTCTCACAAGTATGGACTTGAGCATTTTTAACTCATAACCTAAGGCTGTGGTTGGCACTAAATGCACTATGAATTATTACCGTGTGCTTTTTCAGCAAAAACAGTTACTGTTATATATCCTCATCTGGTTGGCGCAGTGATATTTTGGTTGTGTTGTAGTTTTGTTTGTCCCTCCCCCTTTTTTTCACTTTTTCTGCAGGTCTAGAAGTGGATTCTTCAAGATTCGTTATTGTTTATTTTTGTGAACTCTTTTTTCTTTTCTTCACCCACCTCTTTCTTTCTTCTCCCCCCTTTCTCTGTCATTTCTGTCTCTGTGTTAGGATTTAAAACAACTTTCTTTGCCTTACTTTCTTGGCTCATCTGGACTCAGCCAAGTATAAATTTTTACTTTGTGTGAGTGTGTGTGTGTGTGTGTGTGTGTGTGTGTGTGTGTGTGTGTGTGTGTGTGTGTGTGTGTGTGCGCGCGCGCGTATATGACTGTTATGGGAATTTGGGGTCATTTTAATTCTGTGAAGCACTTTGAGTCACACTTGGCTTGAGAAGTGCTTTATAAATAAAATCTAATTGATTGAGTGAAGATTGTTTGTGTGTGTGTGTGTGTGTGTGTGTGTGTGTGTGTGTGTGTGTGTGTGTGTGTGTGTGTGTGTGTGTTTGTGTGTGTGTGTGTGTGTGTGTGTGTGTGTTTACGTTGAAGCTGGTTTCATTTGGTCACTTGCACAAAGAGAAATCTGATAGACAAAACTGTTGCCTAATCCAGCTGCCTCTAATCGACCGTAAACTCCTGCCTTTCCAGATTAAGGTTTCTAATCTATGACTTCAGAGGCTCCTGGCTCCCTGGAGAGCCAGTCGTTCATCTGACTCATTTGCTGAGGAATTAGATTTATGCTATTTATTAAAATTGCCTGTTGAAAAATGTACTATTCAGCTTTAAGAGAAAGTGTCAAACAAAAAACACAAAAATAATCTGTATAATTTGGACAAATTGAGTCCAACAACGTTATTTCCATTAGAAGAGAAGAGGGACCTAAACAACTTGTCAGTGGAGAAAACTGTTATATTTCTCTATTTGTTTGCATAAGAAGCTAAATATATATAAAACAGACTAACCTTAGCCTCTGCGTGACCTCCAGCTTTAGTCTTTGCAGGCTTCATTTGTTCTAAATGACTGTAAAAACCACAGATCCTACAACTCCATAGACAGTTTCTAATCTCTACCCAGGATCACTCTTTTCATTTTAGATTGTTTTCTCCCCAGCTTTGTGTAACACATGTCCTGTGCTGCATGTGCTCACAGGCTATCAGGGTCATCCTTCAAGAGATGTCGTGAGCCTGCAAGTGCAATCCCCCTCGCGTCGGGCTGCACAAGCGACCACTAAATGTAATCCAGATATTTGACCTTCTGGTTTAGATTTGTTATGCATCACACTATTCGATCCAGTAGAATTACATTCAGGGAGGACATCACCCACAAACATAAACTATCTTCAACCACAAAGACACAAAAAAATAGTCCTGCCCCAGATTATTTAGTCTTGATTTTTCAATCATCTGGTTAGAGTGGGATTATATTAAGACACAGACACAAATTAAAAACCTGAATCCCTCTTTTTTAGTATGAAAAAAAAACTCTCAATATAGATGCCATATAGTCTGATCATTAAAACTGTCTCAGCAAAACAGAGCAGACAGACTTATTAGTTTACTTTGATTTAACTCACAACACCATCATATTATATTTTATTGACCTATCCCAGAACCTCACACAGGTAAAAACTCTCAAAATCTCCAAAGCAACAACAAGAAAAACAAAGACCACGTGGGTTCCTCAGGGATGTGTACTCAGTCCTTTGTTCTTTCCTGTGTTGATGCATGACTCGATGGCCATATGAAAAAAACTGCTTCCTAAGTTTTCCTGTGACACAGCAGTGATGTCCTATTGTAAATATGGTCAAACATCTCACAGATCCACTTTGGAAGAGTTACTAAGTTGATTTCAGGGTAAGAAGGATGATTGTCAGCATGAACTTACATTTGGCTCTGATAGATCCACACTGGTGACAGATCGGGGAACTGTTGAGAGAAGCTGGGGACTTCCAACTCTTTTCAGGCTGCCATCCTGGGTTGATGCTGGCTGCTGGCGTTGTTCCCAATCCTTCCCATACATTGTCATGAACTCATGGGAGTGCACACGATACTCTGTGAGCGGGCGACGGCAGGTATGATGGATGGTCCCCCATGCAGGACTGCAGTCACCTGGGTTGCTCCAGCGCTGGTGGTGGGTAGGTGTAGCTCCACCAGGGAGATTAACCATGTCCGTGCAGCGACCTGGGGTTGTGTTTTCCTGTGCAGGAAGGGTGGAGCATTTGCCAAGGTACATCCTCCTGTCTGACTTGGATATGTATGTCACATCAGCATCATGAGGTCCCAAGGGTGGGCTTAATGTGCTTGTTGGAGAGCACACTGGAAGATAAAACATGATATCAGCATCAGAAATGACAGCATCTGAATAGAAGCAATTTGATAAACTTGAGTTTATCAGAACTACTGGACTCATTCAAAACCAAAACAACTAACTGATTAGAATTAGAAGAACAACTTTGCATCTTAAAGCAGCAAAAAAAGAGGAAATGTGGCAACTGTTAGTTTTGCCAGCTATCCTTAGGTGACTCTTATCCCTACACTGATTGTGTTGCAAGACATAAAAAGTCCTGAACTCAAGTAACATTCCCATAGTATGCTTTGGTGTCTCACTTGTGGCAAAGAAATGTGGTCCTAAAGTAGGACATACTTTAATAAAAACAGAAAGACAATTTCTTTAACAATGTTGCAATGGTGAGCTCTTTTACCCCTGCTGCTGTGACTTTTCTTATAGCCTTCCTTTCCACTTCTTCCACCTGATTTCTTCCCAGTTTTTTGGTTTCTTTTGGCGGCAGGTTTGGACTCTGTCATCACTCCATTTGTTTGGATATTCTGAAAAGACAAACATAAATCATAAAAATAATAATCTTTAGAATATTTTACCAGAACCCACTATAATTGGCATTGTTTTACAATAACACCGTCCTTATGAAAGATCTGTTAATATTCAATAGATGATTTGTTCATTTAGTTGCCTATAAAGCATTTAGAAGAAGTGAACAGGCTCACTTGGTGAGAAACAAATCACTATTCCCATTTTTGGTTTCATGCATCGTCACAGCCTATTAATAACATATAAACTTATTATTAAACTCGCCTCTCATCCCCACCAGTGTATGAATGTGTGTGTGAATGGATGAATGATACACTGTAGTGTAAAGCGCTTTGGAGTCCTTACTCTGAGAGGCGCTATACAAGTGCGGGTCATTTATCATTTATCATTAGTAAGGATGCACCAATGACGGTCTGATACCGTGTGTGTGTGTGTTCTCAAACTCATACTCATAAAAATGCTATTACAGGACCTGAAACCAGAGTGGTGGGGGCTGTTTCCCTCTAACAGACACTTTAACCCAGTAAGTAGTGGTAATGCACCATTAAATGAATGCAAGCCGCTTGAAAAGAATAAGAAGAAGAAGCTGCAGCCACAGAGCCTAAAGTCGGGTTCTGAAAACAGCTACTGATCCAATCCTGGCAGGCTCTGTTTTGTTTGCTTCTCACTATGATGGGCATTAATCTGACTGGGCATTGAGTGACTCAGTCCAAAGCATCTAAATTTTCACTACAACCCCCCCCCCCAACACACACACACACACACACACACACACATACATACATACACATCACCTGCCACGAGGCCCTTGTAGGAGAGAACTTGCTCATAATAAAAAAAAGACCGTTAAGGTGGTCACTTGAGCCAACAAGACAATGTTAACGAAAATAGACCTGGAGTTTTTCCCTACATATCTTTTGTTTTATCAAATAGCAGCCCAAAGATGCTGCATATTCACTCGTTTGGCATCCATCAATACATTTCCATCATAGACTTTAAAGATATTTACAAATCTGCCACAGTTTTGTAGCTGTTTAACCACAACTAACAATTTCTCAAAGGTCTGCCATTAAAAAAGTTTTCACAATGCATTGCATTTTGATCAGTCATGTGTTTAGAATTAGCTGCTGAGTCTGGTTTAACTTAACTACAACCAAAGAAATTTCCTCTTACCTGGTTGTTATGAGGCTTCTCTTTTTTCTTGGTGCTTGAGTGATGTGTTCCTTTCCCTCCCTTTTTTTCTATTCTGTGCTTCATCTTCCTCACATCTGCGAGAACAAAAATCAATCAATCAAATTTATTTGCACAGCACCTTCTACCACCGTAATGGAAGCCCAAGGTGCTGAACAGTATCTAAGAAACATGGATTTACATCAGTTAAGAGGATAAAAATAGCATAAAAGCAATAAAATAGATAAACACAACTAAAAGCCGAAAACTAAAAACACCTGAAGAGAGGGTGTTTGCGTTACTGCCAGAGGGAACTCATTCCAAAGGGTTGGAGCCACTACAGAGAAGGCCCTGTCCACCCTTGATCTCTGTTTAGAGCGTGGGACTTCCAGCAACTCCTGCCCAGTAGAACAAAGGGCCCAAGAGGGGACACACCTGTGTAACAATGCAGCCAGATACGGGGAGCACTTCCCTTTTCATCCCTACACCCTACATTAGTGACCACATTCTTCTCATACTATGCCAAGGACACAAGATCTCTCCACCTGCTCCAGCTCTTTCATCAGGACTGAGTATTAAGACCTCAGTTTTGGACACATTTAGGAAGAGGAAGTTAGAGGCCAACCACAAAGTAACTTCCCTTAAACAGTCCAATAATGCAGACACAGAGTCTCCTGCCCCTCGAGAGAGGGTCAAAAAGATGTGGCAGTCATCTGCATAGAAATGGAACTTAACACCATGTCGCTGAAGGAGGACCCCCAGGGGCAAGAGGTAGAGTGTAAACAGAAGAGGGCCAAGGACTGCTCCCTGAGGTACCCCCATCTAAGACTTTCCCAAGCTAGAGAGCACGTTTTCGTCTCTCAGTTAGTGCCACACTGGAAGATTGGTTAAAGACAATGAATGTTTTACAGATTCAAATAGTTTTATTTTAACATGCATCATGGTACTACCAGATGTGAGTAATCCACCCAAACTACAGGGACTGATGAATTCCCATTACCTATGTTGGCATTGACATAAATCTTAGCATTTCTTTTTACCAAAAATGTTGTGACTTGCAAGACAATTTGAGCCCAGGTCTGGACCCCGTGGAGAGCCTGAGCATTTCAGAGCCACGGTTTCACACTCAGCGGTTTCCTCTCTACTCTGACAGTGTTTTGCACAACAAATGTTGAAAGGTCTTTGTAATTTCCTATTTCTAATTTTCTACACCTGTTGAGGACAAAGTCTAGAAACCACTTCACTTCCCTTTAAAAACCAGATTATCTGGTGGATGCTCTTTTTTTGTGGAAGTGTAGAACAACAAAAACGGTTCTTTGATTGTAGCATCACATACGATCCACATGGCATTCTTCACAGGATTTGAAACTGCACTGCAAGCCAGCAGATACAAACTCAGGGATATACTTTAAATGAGCTTAACCTATATTCTGTCTTTACCTTCACTGCGATTGTTGGTGGTGTGAGCTAAATCTTCTCGGCTCTTGGCGGGCTGCCACACGGCGGTATTACAGCAAGGGTTATCTGTGGTGGAGGGAGAAAAACAGAGGCTTTCAAATGAAACGTCAGGGGGAACACAGGCCACAGAGTCACATCGGCAAATACAGCCAAGGTAAACGAATGCTATGAGAGCTTTCATCTATTTAATATAAAATGGTGCTTGTGTTGTTTTGACATTTATTTTATTTTCCTGCTACAAGCACTGATGTGTGATAATACTCACCCAGTGTTTCGTTATCGGACAGCGATTTGGATAAATGTGTTCTGAAAGTAAAAAAAAAAATTTGATTATGTTTTCATTCTTAAAATTTTATCTACACCTTTGAAAAAAACACAAAGAACCTGAGGTTTTAATTATGGGAGGATTAATTATTGGTTCAGATGCAAAAATACAAGCATGAGACAACATTTATGTGTCCTTCTAAAGTGTAGCCAGTGGAGCAAAGGCAGTGAGGCGACTAAAAGACCCTGAATCGGCTTAGTTCAACTAGCCCAAAGCCCAATAATCTACCTCCTGCTGGCCCAGCAATCTGCAGGGCCTTTTCTTCTCAAAGAAAAAAAAACATCTATATCAAATGAACTGAAAAAACAAAATACATTTTAAGCTTTTTATTCTCATTGTGCTGCCGATCTCTCATCTTAGAACAGAGTTGTATCAGTCAGGGATTGATGTGAGGATAATAACGATGACGATGAAGAGTCTGCTCATTCTCTCTGGAGGATTTATCGAATTAACCCCCTCCCAGAGAAAATAAACAAGGAGCCTTTCAAGCCAGGTTTTTACTGAATGAGACGACGCTTTCACTTCCCAGGAGGCTGTTTAAACTTGTTAGAGACAAAAAGAGAATGAATGAAAAAACATAGACTTATGCTTACCGTCCTGGCAGAATTAAAATGTTTTTAACAAATTTTTATTTCATTTATGAGGTGAAATGACAATAAAATGCAAAATATATCCAGCTACAAAAAAGTGTAAGATCACCTTCGCTTCTTTTTATTTGCATTGGTCCCATGTGTCTGCGGCATCTCCTGAAAGTAAAGAAAGAGTAAAAGACCATTTAATGTAGGGACCACTGTCAGAATATCATTTAAATTACAAGAGGGGGTTGATTTCATACATGTGTGGAAAAATAGATTCCTGACCTCCATAGCAGCTGTCAGGCAAATCTGTTTATCATTCCATAATCAGCTTTATTTTGTAGGAACAATCTGGTGGGTGAGAGTTTTAAGACTCACCATGGATATGGACCTTCCAGACCCTCTCCATTTTGTGTGATCGTCCAGCAGGACCGCCGGGCTGCAGGAACGACTGCAAGAGCGGCTGGATGAACGGCTCGGGATGGGTGGCGGTGGGCCGTCACTGGAGCTCTGCACCGCCTCATACAAACTGTCCATCGACCCTTCCTGGTGTCAGGTGGAGAGACAGAAACAAGGTGTGCTGCAAAAATCTGACTAGTGGACATGTTAATGCAGGTTTATTTGTTTTTATATTAAATATCTGAAAATAATTAACATTAGAAGGTTTAGGATTCTTCAAAAGAATGAATGGCGACCACTGGTTTCCATGGAAACAAAAACATTTCTAAAATCTGAAGAAGAATGGCATCAATCCCAATTTGGTTCCATTTTGCATGATTTTTGTGTGATCAGTAAGGCTCAGTAAGATAAATTTACCGATTAGTGACCAGATTCTCCACTTTCAGCACCACAATGACTAGGAAAGTTATTGTGTCAGACAGCTCTGCCAACTAGCACCAAAACATGCTGGCCTATGCTGGTTTCTTCAGCAGGACCATGAGATGTTTTGCTAACAGACGAGGCTGACGCCAATAGTTGGACTTTGCAAAGGATGGATCTTAGCTACTTAACACCAAATAGCTCAATAATTGTAAAAATGTCTAAATTGTAGCTTTTTTAGTGCTGGCCAGTATTGATTAGCTGTGGTGGCCTTGAATCGGGTTACATCCATAATTTAGTAAGCTGTAGATAGATCCTTTCTGGTAATTGACCCTTTTGAACAGGTATTGTCCACACTGCTGACGATTACTTTGTTGGAAACAGGAAATTATGAACACCAGCTTTGATTTGCAAAAATCTTCCACCAAAGAAAAAACATTAAAGTTAAGTTCATATTGACTGGCTGATGCTTTGAGATGATGATGTTGGATTATGCCTGAGTACTACGACACACGCTCACATGTATACACGAGTTTAAATAATCCATAAAATGCATCAGACAGCATGCACATCAACCTACATCCCTGCTCCGTGCATGGAAACTAGAGCAACAAGGATTTGATGCATCTGATGCAGCTTTGGGAAGCTTTTTTTTTTCCCAACCTGCTTGTCATTGATAAATGAAGAGGAGGATTTGGACTTCCTCGGAGCAGATTTCAGATGGATTAAAATTTGTTTGGCATGTCTGGATTTCTTCTAGGAACACATACATTTATAATATCAGATTTTTTTACAGTTTGACTTTTTGTCAGAATGACTGAAAATGTAAACATTTTCGTTTAAATGCTTTGATCAACATAAACTCACTAACTTTTACCTTTATTGCTGCAAAAGCTTGCAGTAAATACTGATATATTTGCACCTGTTTCAATAATTAATAAAAAATTGTATTTTATTTTCTCTTTTACAGGAGATTGAAACTCTATTTTGTTTAAAAGCTTAAAACTATGAGATGGTTTAAACTCATCATGGACGTGTGCAGAAACACAAAAAGAAACATTCATTGCCTGTTGCTTTAATCCATTGCACCATGTATAACATAACAGCTGCAGCTGGGTCTAATGGACACGTGAGTTTGTGTGTGTGTTTGTGTGTGTGTTGCATGACAGCTTTTTTTAAACTCTGTTGGTATTTTTCTTTTAATAGCACTTAGCACGCACAAAGACTTCCCACAAGTATTTAAAATCAAACTTGAAAGTACGTGCAAGTATCTAAATGTCCTGAAACACAAAGGAAGTGTCTGAAATGAAGCCAAGGTAAACAAAAGAGCTCAGAATGGTATGAGGACCTTTAAAACCAGGTGAGCAGAGGACAAAGTGAAACTGTCTTTAACGGAGACAACAGGTATTGTTCTCACAGAATTTCTAGTTGTTACAGTAAAGAGAAAATCTTACCAGTGAGAAGCAGAAAAGGTTCATGCTGGCTAAGAGGTGTCCTGTGTGTTTCAGGGAGTCAGATGGAGCACAAATAGGCTGCTGACAGACAGCCAGAGCGCTCAGAGACACAACAGCTCAGAGTGAGACCAGCCTGGTTCGCCTGCTGTCTTCACAGATTAATACCAGAGAGAAATCCCTGCTCTAATCCAATAGATGGACGACCATTACTCCAGCAGCCAGGCAGAGCACACACGACAACAAGCCCTGCTGCTGGGGGGGGGGGGGGGGATTGTGTGTGTGTGTGTGTGTTTCATTCTTATTTTTATTGTGGCGAGAGTAATGGCAGCCATGCTCTATTTATAGCCTTTGCCTGTTCTTCCCTTTACAACTGTAGTAAATATCAAATGTTAAAAACACATTACCCAGCAAAAGTACTTCATTTGTAGTATTTGCAGAAACTGAAGCTACAATCAAAATAAACGAATTGAAAGAGAAACTCAGTCTGTAAAAACAAAAACGAACCGTCAGACCAAAACATGGAAACATTTCAGGCTCTTCTGTGTGAATTCAGCTTTTGCTGCATAGTAGTGTGTGTCGTTCTAATGGAAAGTGACAACACGATTTAGTCATCAAATCAGAGGCAGACAGCTAAGTAAAAGACGGTTTGTGTATCTTCTGATTTGTTACTCATTCGTTTAATTTTAGAGCTTTTCCAAACCGTGGGATGTTCTCCTCCATGCTTGGGGGTTAGAACCTGAGTTTGTGCAGAGATAACATTCTCAGAGGTGTTTTTTATTACATTGCTATGAAGGGATTTCAGCCAGACACCACATCAATTCCTTTGGGGTTTATTCTGTCCAGAACTTGTACAAATCAGTGATTAACACCTTTTGGACTTTGTTCCCTTTGTCACTTGTGAGCTCCCGTAGTTTCCTCTCATTTACACTGCTAAAGGCATTGTGAGGGAGCCATTAGTGCTGGAGCCAGGAGACAAATGGGCTTTTGTGCCTTTCTGTCTGCAGGAGTTGAATAAGCATATCCTGATGCTTCAGTCATCAGAGAAGGACCAGAATCATTACATGGACATGGACATGGACATGGACATGGTGGTCATATAGATGAACAAGTCCCAGCTGGCACGTGATCACAGAACTCAGATCTGGGAATGATGTCAGGATCAAATGAACCTTATTCTGTTTGCAAATGGAAAAGTAGCAGGATCAGCTACTAGTTCTGTTCAGTCACCATGGTAACCATTATTAATAATACAAGATGATTAATTCAGATAGCAACATGTCCACTAACATGGATTGGACAAATGTTCCTGAAATTAAGCTAAATAGTTTTGCTGATGTCTCATTCTCTCATGCACGAGGCAGCCATGTTGGTCAGGGCTGGTCATGCATTATCCACCTTAAGAGTCAAAATCCAACACGGAGGCCCCTCCAGTTGAATTTTCCTACTTGGACTTCTGGGTGGAAATAGAAGACAACAATATAACTTATGTCCACTGTCAGAGACTTAAAAATGCCTCCTGACTGAGAAGTGAAACAAGAAGTAAGTGATGCAATCATCTCTGAACCACAAAGACACGTCTGAGTGTGTTTCATAATTAAACAGCCTGGATTAGCCTCAGCCTGCCCGGTATGAACAGGATGAAGATGGTGCATAAAATAAATTAATGATGCATTGGATCACTGCTATTCCTGGGTTAACACAACAGCGTTACATAAGACAAAATTATGTTAAGTCACCCCTGAGTGCTCAGTTACTTTGTGTTTGATGTGGTTTGTGTTTACGTGTGTGTCTGTGTGATGCTAATAAGGACTGATTTACTCTCCAACTTTATTTCTACAAAGGTTCACTTCATGACTGAATGACTGCTAATAAATTTATTTCAGCGATATCTTTTTATTTTGCTCTTTAAAATGTTAGAAATTGCACAATCAGGTTTTTTTTTTTCACCAGAGTTGTGCAGCACAATAAATCCACCTGTCCTGGTGAAATCAGAAGAGTTCAGTGTTTCTTTCTAAAATGTTGTGAAAGCAGAAAGTGGAGACAGATCAAAATAGTTCACTACAACAAATCATTTTTTAAACCAGAGCTGCTAACTGTTCCTTATCTGACTCTTCAGGTCTATTTTATAGCAAGTAGGGACGCCTAGTTAGTAACAGCAAAGGTGTCAAAATGCTGTGTTGCTTTACTTAAGTAGAAATACTTCACTGGAGTAATTAGTAGACCTGACATTCCAAAGACCTATCCAGATCCGTGCATCATGCAGATGGATGAGCTCTGTCCATGGGTTGTAGACTATAGGAGTCTATAGGACTATAGGAGGCCTGCCAGGCTACACAGGATCATTACCTTCATTCATTCAAGCAGTGGTCTGGTATTTGAACTGAACCAGACAGAGCCAAATAAATTAGGATGACAAATGAAGAACAGGAACGTTAAAACAATGGTTAGTCATTAGGTCAACAATCCTGTTCTTCCAGTCGGCCTAAAGGAGCGGTCTGAATGAAAACACGGGTCATAAAAACAAAATGCACTTACGAGAAACCTGGAGCTTTGCCCACAGCCTCGTCACTTTTCACACTTGAGCTTTTGAACAGCACGAATGTTGACTCACCTTGCCTGCCACAGTTCCCTCTTGTGTGGGCAGGTGTGTGTGTGTGTGTGTGTAGGTGTGTGCATCATTTCCTTTAGAAGTCTGAGTTTATTGTTCTTGACCCCCACAACCACCATGGCTCTCACCCTGTTTGTGACCTTTTAACCCTCAACCCCAAACAGTGTGACAGGTCTCGGTGTCAAGCTGGATGCTGGACTCACGATGGCCCCACACATAAACTCCGTAGTGAGGTCTTGTTTTTATCAGCTTCGCCGCCTTCCTCGCCTCAGACAAATCCTGAAACGGAGGCATTTGGAGTCAGTCATCCATGCCTTCATTACCTCTCGCTTGGACTATGCAAACACCCTCCTCGTTGGTGTTCCGGTATCCGCCCTGAATTGGCTGCAGGTCGCCCAGAACGCTGCTGCCAGGTTCTTGATGAGTACACACCGACGTAGCCACATTACCCCTGTCCTGGTACATCTTCACTGGCTCCCTGTCATTTTCAGAGTGCAGTTTAAGTTACTGACCTTTGTATTTAAAGCTCTCAATGACCTGGCACCTCCCTATCTCTCTGACCTGCTCACTCCATATGTGCCCACGCGCACGTTGAGGTCGGCTGACCTTTTGCTGCTGTGCACGCCGCGGATGCGATTCAAATCGCGGGGTGAACGAGCATTTGTGCATGCTGCCCCAAAGCTGTGGAACTCATTGCCCATTGGAGTTCGGCAGGCTCCATCTCTGGGGGTTTTTAAATCTCATTTAAAGACCCACTTTTACACTTTGGCTTTTAGACAGTGATTCGTTTTAGTGTTTTATTGTATCATTGTTTTAATGTGTTCTTAGTATTCATCATGGTTTATCTGCTTTTGACTGGTATTTTTATCCTTGTTTTAGTTCTTTCGAATGGTTGTGTTTTGTTTTAGCCTGTGCAGCACTTTGGGCAGCTCCCATGCTGCGTTTTAAATGTGCTATATAAATAAACTATGCTATGATATGCTATGCTTTAACATCAAAACATTCCTCTAAATGGCGAAAAGTAACGCCAAGATCAGATGTATTTGAAGCTGTTTGAAGTGCAACATGTGAGTATTAATAGCAGCACATAAAGTGTGCAGGTTACGCTCTTTTAAGCCACCTAATGTGAGCTGCTTTAATGTGGAGGAGAAACATCTGCGCAGATTAATAAAAGTGACCCACGTTTTCACACATTATCCAACACTAAAAGTTATTTTGTTCATATTAATTCAGTTTAGTCACTGAATGGTGTGCATTTTGGATTTTCCTCTAGTCTGATAACACGACCCTCATGGATGAACCTAATCAGCACTAAAGGGTGCATCTTTAACGAGGCTGAGGAGTTTGAAGCGTTTTCACCTTTTGTTCCGTGCTGCACCTGAATCACAACCTGTGTCGTGTTACAGGAAACCGGTCTTGTGTGTGCAGTGCAGAATGTGCCAGAAAGTAAGGTGTGACCCTGGATTAACCCAAAGCAGAGTGAGACCACTTTAATAAAAATGCAGAGAGAATTTGCAGCAAGTGAACCACACGAAGCAAATAAGGTATTTTTTTAAATCGACCCTGTGAGAAAAACAGCTTCTAGAAAAACAGATTAAAATGTTGCACCACAGCACCCCTAACAGGCAGCTGTGTGCCTCTGCTGCACATTCGTATCCGGTTGAAATAAATGAATGGGATTTATGTGAAGTTCAGTGACCCACATAGCAGCAGGCTTCACTAGAGTGACATCATGAAGGGATCAGGAGTGTGTGAGTGTGTGTTTGTCTAGCTGTCTAACACCCAGAGTGTTGCACGGTTAAAGAATGCTGAGGAAAGAAATGAATGAGACAAAACTTTAGTCTTTGGGAATGTTATATTTCAGTTTAAAGGGAAATCAGTGACATGATAATCACAGGAGACTTTGGTACATGACACTGATGTTTATATAGTTCATTTCATTAGATGGTTTCCATTTTCTGGACAGTGGGGTGAACGAGGTGTCTCAGGACTAGCAGAGGTCCTCCTGGCAGCAGGTTGTGAAAAAGTCTTCCTGACAGAATTCCTCGCAGCTTCGAGAAATGTCATCACCTGTTTGATGAGCAAATACGTCTAATTGATGACACACACACACACACACACACACACACACACACACATGCACACACACTAGAGAGACAACGAAAACCTACCCTTGATGTATGTTTTACAGTACATGGATGTGCTTTGGCAAGTCGTCACGGTCTTGCAGATGTGGTCAGTGTCACCTTCACAGGAGTAGCATTGCAGTGTGAGCACTGTCAAAAACACAAAATCCATCAAAACTCAGCACTTACAGGTCTGAAGAATCTGGGATCAAATCTGACATGCTCATAAAAATAATAGATTAAAACACACAGTTTGCCCTTTGAAAATAACTCATTAAATATAGTCTAAATAAAACTAGAAGTCTCTTACCTTGTGTGCTGCACAGCAGCAGAGTCACCAGTGTGAGCAGCAGAACCTTCATGGTGTCGGATGTGAACAAACTTCCTGCTCCAGCTCTTTTATAGAGCCCGACCAGAAAATAACTTGATCCCAGGCGTGCACTTCCTTGTAGTTCCCGTTAACGTTCTGCTTTTCTTTCATGTATTTCAGAAAGTAATGATAAAGGAATGAATAACCCTCGACTGGAACAAAAGAAAAGAAAACAAGTGCTTTTGTGTCACCTTGTGATTTTACGTGATAAACTTTGAGTTTAGCCCCATTTTGTTTTTCAGCGGGGCCGAATAAAGCTATCAAGTTCCACTATAATTTATTTGTTTGTTGATTGTGAACATGTGCTAAACATTTCTGATATGACATGTTCTAAGTCAATCAATCAAACTTTATTTATACAGCACTTTTCATGCATAGGATGCAACACAAAGTGCTTAACAGATAAAAATGACCCATATAACCCACATTCCCTCCCTTTCCCACACTTAAAACAGTTATGACAGTTTCACCCCCAATCCACAAACCATTCCCAGGCACACACACACACACACACACACACACACACACACACACACACACACACACACACACACACACACACACACACACACACACACACACACACTAGGTTGAGCTCAGATTGGACAGGTAATGAAAGACACGCCATCAAGGGAGCCATCTGCCTCGACAGCAGCAGATCCACGGCAAAAGCCAAGACACCAATCCAGGCCGCCCTGGGAGGGAGGGTGGCAACCCCCACCACTACCTGGGCACTACCCAAGGAGCGCCCCAGCCGCCGCCACCGGCCACCGGTCCACAGGCAGAGGGCTCCACAGAGGAAACACTGGAAGGATTAAAATACGTAACATGTAAAATAACAAGAGCTAATATGGAAAGTAAATTATCCTATAAAATGAGATTGTAGAAATTAAACAACATAAATGTGTAAAAGGATACATTCCTGCAAAAGATGTGAAGTGACTATTTGTAACTTCAGCAGGGGTGGGTGGGGGGTGGGGGGGGGTGGGGGGGGGGTTGCACAAAAAATAACATGTTCAACCAATTCTGATAGGTGGACATCCTGGCAATTTATAGTGCAAAAACAAATGTTGGTTGGTTAATAGTTATTAGTTAGTTGGTCCTGTGGGTGAGGTGTCTCATAGGCGCCTCACCAGGGGGCCTGTTCGATTTCAGAAGGCTGATATGGGTCACTACACCTGGTGCCACTCACATCACAAGGACAGACTGTTTGTTATGTAATGAGGTCAGAAACTGTTTGATCACCATCAGAAGGCAAACTACATTAATACATTTTTCATACAAGATAAAAGACCAACGCAAAGCCACATTTTCTACATTTCCTTGTGCTGGTCCAAAAGGATGCTTCCAAATGACGAAACAGGTGGGGTCCAGGATGGAGTGTGTAAGATGATGTCACCGATATACACTTTACTTTTTGAAGAGTCCAGGCCTGTCTTTTCTCTACCAGTTATGTAAATCAGTTTGAACTAGAATTGCTGACTCGTAGTCATTATTGAAGTATAAGTTTAATAAAGTTAAAGTAACTATCAGGTTAAAGTGTGTATATGGACGTCACTCCCCTGGAAAGAAAACAAAAGCAGAGATCCGGGGTCCTCCCGGATGACCACTGGCGACGGACTGTACCCAGTGGATGTAGAACGCTACAGATGTGATTCCACCTTAAACTTTGTCAGATTGGCTAAAGACACACATTCACTCGTTTGTCTTTGGGAAACAAACAACAGGTTCCACCTGGTCCTGCACGAAGCCCACCCAGCCTGAGCTAAAGAAGGTACATTTGTGATGCACCTTTAAGTTGTCTGATGGGTATCAGGCATGAATCAGTGCTGCATAACCATTACCTGTGATAGCTTATTTAAAATCTGTTTAACTTTTCAGTGAATTACTACTTAATTTCTCTGGATGTTGGACCAAAGCTCCAGGTAGAGGACGTAGGGTCCAGCTGAGGTCCAGTCCTTACAAGAGAAAAACACAAATTAAAGTAAATCCTCAAAAACATTTGTTTATATTCCTTGTTTACAATCTTGTTGTAATTTAACCACTTTTATTGTTTAAAGTGTTTGGAGTTAATGTTTATCTACGATAGGATGAGTCAAAACTACTTAACAGTTTTTTCACTGAACTTTTTTTTTCTTTTTACAACAATAAAACACCCATACAGGCTTTGGAGTAAGTTAATGTTTTATTTCCATCACATTTAGATTTTTTTTATTAAACCTAAAAAAAAAACTTATTTTTATTGGTTAATTTTCTTCTGAAGTTAAAAGCAGAATCATTATTGACTGAAGTCAGAAGAAGATAAGAGAATTTCTTCTACATGTTTCCTCCCTGAACTGCAGTCAAATCATCACAATTTGTTTTTTCCACATAATTATTTAGCTCATCAGGACTTCAGATACTCAAACCCTTTACTTTCAAGAACACACATTAAACACTAAATGTCTGAACACATTCAATGAAAAGCCTCAACACAGTATCTGCACGTTTCGATCAGCCGGAAAACAAATAGCAAAAAAACTAAACTCTTAAAACAGGAAATAACAACAATAAGTTGTGCTTATCTGCTTGCTGTTGGAGCAGAAACGTCCCAGCACCAAATAAATAATAGGAATTATGGAGACTGGTGTGAGGCCTTTGATGACCAACAATAAACATTTCTTACACAAATCACATCAAAATAACGTAGGGAAATTAGCTTGGACTCTTAAACGGAGTCAAACCCATTTCTGAGAAAACACCTGACTGGCCTTTGCTGGCAGGGATTAAACTGAGAACCAGTTAGACCAACAGCTGCTACAGCTGAATGGCAACAAGGAGTTTCATTTAAGGTTTAATGATTAAACTTGTTTCTGCGCTATAAATCTGACATCATGAAAGTGAAATGTTCATAATATTTATTAAAATATTTACAAAAGTCCAATAGTTGTCAGAAAACACAAATGAAAAGTGTTTAATCGTTTATCGCTAAGAAAACCAACAACTACATGGTGAAACTGACAGTATAAGACACAGTAAGAAGTCATATATGAGGTTAAACTATTGTGTTCAACCAGGTTTTTATAAAAGGGAATAACAACAAATGAATAAAAGGTGAGTGTCCCCAGCTTCAGTACCATACTGTTATCTACATTTCTGATAGTTTTTATTCTTTCTAAAGTTTTTTATGTAGAAAAGTTACAAAATCTATGCAAGAAATTGCAAGAAAACATCAAGAAGTAAACTGTGAAAGTGCAGGAGGAGATTGTGCATCAGCATAATGAATCTGAGTGGAATTAAAACACTGTAATTATGATATTTATGACTAAAAATGGATTGTGTAAAGTGATACATGATGCTGAGCCCTTTTGATAAGTTTCTCTTTGGCACAGAGTTTGATTCAACTCCTTTTAGTTTCTGTTTAATTAAGAGATGTGGAGGCAGCTGGATTCATGGCTAATCTGTCACAAGAAAAACACAAAGAAGATGAGATTTAAAAAATATATTTGCAGAAAAAGTAAAGATGAAAAGACAGAAATCAGGTTAATTTCAGGTCTAATTACGTGCCAAAACATTACAAGCTGATCAACAAGTTGTTCGATGAGCACGTGAAGACCGAGCCTGTTCCACATACCGGCATTTTTCTAAGATTGAAAAAAGAAGACACGTCAGCCACCAGAGTGGTGGTGTCAACACCTCATTGCAGTTTTTTCAGTCATGTGTGCTTCTCTGAAATGCTATTATACCCATTTACATTTGTCAATGAGAACATGAAGGCTTTACTGAGCTTTCAACTAAGTTGCCTTTAAAGCAGTACATGTCTCTAGGTTTAAACATAGTCTAAAAGGATGAGAAGTATTATGCTTTGTCATGATTTCTTAGGAAATGCAGCTGTAATCAGAAACTGGAGCGTGTGAAACATCCAGGGGAACGTGTAACCAACGGGAAGGGGGGGGGGGGGGGGGGGACAAAAACAGTGGTCAGCTGCCTCTGACACACCAAAAAATATATAAAAGTGTGAAAACAAAATTAAAACAAACTCAAAATTTCATACATCATCAATCCATATCAATTTCAGATTTAAAATAATGTACTGATGTAAACCACACCCACTAATTTCCAAATAATAAATAAGAGGTGCATTCAACTGTGTATGTCCTTTGATCCACATTAGTGATATTTTCAGCACCAGAACAATGAAGCAAAGAAACAGATTCCTGAGTTTATGTTAGTAATTTTATTTATTAGGTGCATCTGACCTGTTCCATTTTTCTCTGAAATGAGATCAAATCAGTGCTTCTATGGGTTGTCTCCTCTCTGCACTAGAAACATGTACTTTATTATAATGTTCACCGTAATGCATCTTGATGTTCTTAACAAATAAATTAAATCAAAGATATTGGTCAATAATGCCAAATATGTACATTTGTGTTTCAGTCATTTTTAGACTGGCTTAAAAATACTTCATTAAGTCTACTAAGCAGGGGTGTAGAACGTGTTTAATGGGGCCAGCCCAGTAATGATCTTGGACCAAAATAAAGGGGGCAGAAAGTCAAATAAAGGGGGGCAAAAGGAGATGTTTTTCCCAGATGCCAAGAAAAATTAAATGCCAAATCCCCCCTGCAAAGTGTGTCACTGAGAGTTTAAAACAAAAATTATTCTTGTGCAGATATTGGTGTATTCACCTTTAATACTAGTTATTAACATGCAGCAGTTGCTGGATTGGTGCAGTTCAAAGTGGAGTGCATCAAATAAAACAATATTAACATAAAGGTGAGACGTGTCATAATTTCACACATGAAAACAAAATTAATAAAAAAAATAAAAACTTTCAACACATTCTAGACGGGTAATTGTCAAGGTTTATGTAGGTTTTGTTAAGAAAGTAAAAAAAGTCTTGTTTTTAGACATTTTATCTTATTTTTAGTTTTAAAAGAAAAATTAGTTCTGCAAAAACAGCACTACTTAGATTAGGTTGACATTCGTATGATCCAGAGTTTCTCATTTTGAAGAAGTGGGGTGAACAAAAAGCGCTTGGCTATAATTAATTATATTTGATCATAAATGATTAGTATGTTAGATTCATCTGCTAGT